ACATTACCCATAATTCTGTCAGACTTCCATTCCATATATTCAGACCGTCCATTCCATATATTCAGACCGTCCATTCAATATATTCAGAGTTTTCATTCAATATATTCAGAGTTTCATTCAATATATTCAGAGTTCATTTATAAGTTTGAATATATTTAATGGACCTTGAATATATTGAATGAAAGTTTGAATATATGGAATGAACAATAAATATATTGCTTGAAATACTAAAAATGTATGTCAGTTGACCAAGCTTTTTCTTTTTGGAAAACCATGCTTACAATATGGCATCAGAGGATATATTTAATTATTTTGTTGAACTTGAAAGCTTTTTGTCAACAGCTGGTCAGACTTTTCATGATACAAGTACTTTAGAGTCCATAACCCGACGGGTTGAAGATCATATATCCATAACTGACATGTTTGCAGAACTTATGAGTTACTTTGTTCCACAAAATGTTACTCAAAGAAGAATATGCCTTATTCTTGAAGATCTTTGCGAGACTCTGAGAGAGATGTTGGCTGAAATAACAGCTCAGATGGAAACTGATGCATTTTCATCTCAGAGAGGAAGGCCAAGGTAAGCTATATTAAAATTGCAAGTACTGGATAGAGAAGATATTGATGGTGTTGAAATATGTAGAGTCCGTGAGGTGCAGTTTTTGGGTGATATTATTGATGAAAACTGACATGGAAATCTCACATAAATTACAAAATAAGCTAAATCTACTACTTGTACTGCACACATACAGTAAAAGAGTTATTGAATGATAAAGCATTTTATTTTTTATAATGCAGTAACTGTTCCACACTGGATCTATTGTACTGAAGTCTGGAGGAAAGCATGCAAAACAATCACGAATCCTTTTTTTTTTTTCTTTACAGAAAAGAGCCATAAGAATTGTCACCAGAAAACTTTAGTCACCCATCGAATCAATTGAGACAATTAAAATTTTAATCCAAGTTTGTTAAGAGGGAAAGTTGTTATAATATTAAAGGACAAGAGATATTTGTAAAACCTAAAATTTGAACAAACTTGAGGGACACATGTACTTCAGTCAAAGAAATAAGATTTTGGAATAATCTGGATAGTGATTATAAAAAGGCTGGTTAAATTAATTTGTTTAAGAGAATGATAAGGGTTAGAAAATATATGAAGTAATATATTTTAATTGTTTTTTTTTCTTTAAAGATACAACATTCAAGCTCTTCAGTTGATCCACATGCGAGACTTGGGATTTAGTTGGATGGCCATATCCCGAATGCTGTCTGTCAATATCCGAACACTGTACAATCACAGGACACAACTTGGTTTGGTTGACTATGGAAGCTTCATCAATATTTCAAATGAGGCCCTTGATTCTGTTATCTCTGAGATTCTTCATCAAACCCCCGGGTCAGGAGAGACCTACATTACTGGTAGTTTAAGAGGGAGAGGGATCAGAGTTCAGCGATGGCGAGTACGAGAACGGTTAAGAATTATAGATCCTGTGGGGAGAGCCTTCAGAGGTCGCAGGACAATTCAACGCCGAGTCTACAATGTTTCTGTCCCCAATCATGTGTGGTAAGGATTTTGTAGATTTTAATAAGTCAAGTAATTTTTGCCTAGCTGCTCAATGAAGTAATCATACCATTATTCATTGTTACAGGCATGTTGACACAAATCACAAGTTAAATCCATGGGGATTTGTGTTTCATGGTGCAGTTGATGGCTTCAGCCGCTGCATCACCTACCTGAGATGTTGCACAGATAACAGAGCATCAACTTCCTTGCAACTTTTCCAGAGTGCCGTTGAACAATATGGACTTCCACATCATGTCAGGGGTGATGCTGGTGGTGAGAATATTGATATTGCAAGGTTTATGATTGAAAATAGAGGCCCAAACAGAGCAAGCTTTATGGTTGGACGTAGCGTTCACAATCAAAGGATTGAAAGATTGTGGGGAGAAGTAAACCGTGTGGTCTCATTTTACTTTAAAGACCTTTTCCTCTTCATGGAGAACACTGGGATTTTAGATAGCACCAACCCACTCCACATTAGGGCTCTTCACCATGTTTATCTTACAAGAATAAACAGATCTGTAGATGAGTTTATGAGCCAATGGAACCACCACAGTTTAAGGACAATGGAGAACAGGTCCCCACTTCAGTTGTGGACTTTTGGGATGCTACAACTTCCTGACCATGAAAGACCACCTACTATTGCTCATGTGCAACATGGTTACAATGCTCACCAAAGGGATGAAGAGTTAGGGCAAATTAATCCCTTAAATGAAGATGGAAACCATGGAATAGAACTTTATTTATATGCATGTAACCTACTTCAAAATACTTAGATTTCTAAGTAGTTATGTTCATGTTGAAATGATCAAAAAATATTTCCTTTTTATTATGCGCAGATGCATTTTGAAACAAATTTCAAAAGTTATGTTGCAAGGTTTTTGATTTCTTGCATGAAAAGAGTCTACAGGACTAAGGACAGTGTAAAAAGGCTGAATAAGGAATTTCCTTTTCATGACATTACTGACCTCATATTAAAAAAGATGTATTACATATTTTGTTATGGCATTATCTATGAGTGTATTAACCACTATTAACTTACTTTCATGTAAAAAAATAAACATTGTACCAAAAATGTTATGCCTTGAGTATTTATTTTTTAAATCAATAAATTTTGTAATCAGGTAATCTCACACAAACTAAATTAAGGGCCTCTAAATCAACTTTAGAACCAAGACACAAGAAAAAAAAAACAAATATGAGGTTTTAACTCAGGAGTTTTTTATTTGAACAAGCTCACTGAAACAAAAAAAATGAAGTGCCAACTTTTACCTTGTGCACTTTAGAAAATGTAATAAAATAAAACATTCAAATGTCTTCAGGAAAATGTGCAAACACAAGTTCTTTTTCCCCATGCAGTATATGCTTCATTTGTATCAATTACTCTTAAGAATTTTGTACAAAAACATCAGTTCTTCAGCAAACTAAGTGATAACTGTAACTCACAGGTGTTGCACTGGGGTCCTCAAGTGCAGCTGTCCTGCATGTTTTCTTGTTTTCCTCCTCAAACACACCTGATTTGCATGAATGGATGATTAACAGGCTTCTACAGGTGTGTTGAAGCAAAGAAACAAGGAAAATATGTAGGATAGCAGCTCTCGAGGACCTGAGTTTGACACCCCTTCCTCAAAGTAACAGAATCTTATCAAGACATTACCTCTCATGCCCTGCCAAAACCTGGAGAGTTTCGTATGGCAAAATCCATGTCAGTTTTAAAATCAGGATATACAGTGTGTAATGGTATGCGAAGAATGTTCTCACAAGTATTGGCCACGGGAAACCGAGAATAACTGATGAACTCAAGACTTGGTTTTGGAGAAAACCCAAGTGCTGGAATGCTATCACATCCAGTGAAGAAAACAAGAACATCCTTCAGAGAGACACTGTCTCCAACTGTAAAACATTAAAAACAAAATAAACAATTATTTATTCCATTAAATTTTTTGATAATTTCAGAACCCTCAGACATTATACCAAATTGCATTAAAACAGCAATAGTCTATATTCAAGAAAATGAGAATTAATTTTAAAG